ATCTCCAAGGTGTCTTCTTGCCTTCAATGTTCGTATCTCCTTCTGAAAATACTTCGTAACTTGAATCTTCATAATTCTGCTTCCAAAAGTAGTCTTCGTTTCTTCATTTTTATTCTTCTGCATTCAAATGTATCTTCATATTTTCATTTTAGAGTTCTTTCCTTCAAAAATGTCTTCATATCTTCAATCTTTATAGTTCTGTTTCTTAAAATCTTCTCCACATCTTGAATCTTTATATTTCTGCCACTGAAAAGCTAATGTAACATTAAAATTAACTAGGCCTAACTTAAAACGTTCATTTCTGCATCTCCAAGGTGTCTTTGTGCATTCACTGTTAAGATCTCCTTTTGAAAAAATGTCATTGTAACTCGAATATTTATAATTCTGGTTCCAAAAGTAGTCTTTGTACATTCATCTTTATTCTTTTGCATTCGATTCTATCTTCATATTTTCATTTTGTAGTTCTTATCTTGACAAATGTCTTCATATCTTCAATCTTTGTAGTTCTGTTTCCTAAAATCTTCTCCACATCTTGAATCTTTATATTTCTGCCACTGAAAAGCTAATGTAACATTAAAATTAACTAGGCCTAAATTACAACCTTCATTTCTGCATCTCCAAGGTGTCTTCGTGCCTTCAATGTTCATATCTCCTTCTGAAAAATGTCTTCGTAACTCGAATCTTCTTAATTCTGCTTCCAAAAGTAGTCTTCGTATCTTCATCTTTTATCTTCTGCATTCAAATGTATCTTCATATTTTCATTTTAGAATTCTTTCTTTCAAAATTGTCTTCATATCTTCAATCTCTATAGTTCTGTCTCTGAAAATCTTCTCCGCATCTTGAATCTTTATATTTCTGCCACTGAAAAGCTAATGTAACATTAAAATTAACTAGGCCTAACTTATAACCTTCATTTCTGCATCTTTAAGGTGTCTTCGTGCCTTCAATGTTCATATCTTCTTCTGAAAAATGTCTTCGTAACTTGAATCTTCATAATTCTGCTTCCAAAAGTAGTCTTTGTATCTTCATTCTTTTGCATTCGATTGTATCTTCATATTTCATTTTATAATTCTTTTCTTCAAAAATTCGAATTTATCTTCGTATTTTCATTTTGTAGTTCTTTTCTTGACAAATATCTTCAATCTCTATAGTTCTGTCTCTGAAAATCTTCTCCGTCTTTGTATCTTCAATCTCTATAGTTCCGTTTCTTAAAAATGATCTCCGCATTTTGAATCTTTATATTTCTGCCACTGAAAAGCTAATGTAATATTAAAATTAACTAGGCGTAACTTACACCCTTCATTTCTGCATCTCCAAGGTGTCTTCGTGCCTACAATGTTCATATCTCCTTCTGAAAAATGTCTTCGTAACTTGAATCTTTATAATTCTTCCACAGTTAGTCTTCGTATCTTCATCTTTAATCTTCTGCATTCGAATTTATCTTCGTATTTTCATTTTGTAGTTCTTTTCTTGACAAATATCTTCAATCTCTATAGTTCTGTCTCTGAAAATCTTCTCCGTCTTTGTATCTTCAATCTCTATAGTTCCGTTTCTTAAAAATGATCTCCGCATTTTGAATCTTTATATTTCTGCCACTGAAAAGCTAATGTAATATTAAAATTAACTAGGCGTAACTTACACCCTTCATTTCTGCATCCCCAAGATGTCTTCGTGCCTACAATGTTCATATCTCCTTCTGAAAAATGTCTTCGTAACTTGAATCTTTATAATTCTTCTACAGTTAGTCTTCGTATCTTCATCTTTAATCTTCTGCATTCGAATTTATCTTCGTATTTTCATTTTGTAGTTCTTTTCTTGACAAATATCTTCAATCTCTATAGTTCTGTCTCTGAAAATCTTCTCCGTATCTTGAATCTTTATATTTCTGCCACTGAAAAGCTAATGTAACATTAAAATTAACTAGGCCTAACTTACAATCTTCATTTCCTTATCTCCAAGGTGTCTTCGTGCCTTCAATGTTCATATCTCCTTCTGAAAATACTTCGTAACTTGAATCTTCATAATTCTGCTTCCAAAAGTAGTCTTCGTATCTTCATCTTTATTCTTTTGCATTCGATTCTATCTTCATATTTTCATTTTATAGTTCTTTTCTTCAAAAATGTCTTCATATCTTCAATCTCTATAGTTCTGTTTCTTAAAAATTTTCTCCGCATCTTGAATCTTCATATTTCTGCCACTGAAAAGCTAATGTAACATTAAAATTAACTAGGCCTAACTTACAACCTTCATTTCTGCATCTCCAAGGTGTCTTCGTGCCTTCAATGTTCATATCTCCTTCTGAAAAATGTCTTCGTAAATCGAATCTTCTTAATTCTGCTTCCAAAAGTAGTCTTCGTATCTTCATCTTTATTCTTCTGCATTCGAATGTATCTTCATATTTTTATTTCGTAGTTCTTATCTTGAAAAATGTCTTCATATCTTCAATTTCAAAGTTCCGTCTCTGAAAATCTTCTCCGCATCTTGAATCTTTATATTTCTGCCACTGAAAAGCTAATGTAATATTAAAATTAACTAGGCCTAACTTACAACCTTCATTTCTGCATCTCCAAGGTGTCTTCGAGCCTTCATTGTTCAGATCTCCTTCTGAAAAAATGGCTTTGTTACTTGAATCTTCATAATTCTGCTTCCACAGCTAGTCTTCGTATCTTCATCTTTAATCTTCTGCTTTCGAATGTATCTTCATATTTTCATTTTGTAGTTCTTTTCTTGACAAATGTCTTCATATTTTCAATCTCTATAGTTCTGTCTCTGAAAATCTTCTCCGTATCTTGAATCTTTATATTTCCGCCACTGAAAAGCTAATGTAACATTAAAATTAACTAGGCCTAACTTACAATCTTCATTTCTTTATCTCCAAGGTGTCTTCGTGCCTTCAATGTTCATATCTCCTTCTGAAAATACTTCGTAACTTGAATCTTCATAATTCTGCTTCCACAGCTAGTCTTCGTATCTTCATCTTTAATCTTCTGCTTTCGAATGTATCTTCATATTTTCATTTTGTAGTTCTTTTCTTGACAAATGTCTTCATATCTTCAATCTCTATAGTTCTGTCTCTGAAAATCTTCTCCGTATCTTGAATCTTTATATTTCTGCCACTGAAAAGCTAATGTAACATTAAAATTAACTAGGCCTAACTTACAATCTTCATTTCCTTATATCCAAGGTGTCTTCGTGCCTTCAATGTTCATATC